TCAAAGTTTCCTGCAACTGGTCTCAGTTTATTTCATGAACATTTTTAATACCACAGACGGGGCAAGTTTTGTTGAATTATGGACAAGAGGTCCAAGTAAATTCCGTGTGTCAAAAATGTGGAATAACTCCGAATCCATTATCGGTAAATGATCGTTATAATGATTAGTTTTCGTCGGAAAAAAATTTGAAAATTCTATCGGTTCTGCGAGACAAGCCACGCACAAACGAGGGTTTGTTCATAAGATTTGGAACTCTTTGAAATAAGGCCAACGGAATTTCCAGAATTCCACAATATGTTTCTTTTTACAAAGCACCATCATTTGACAACGCTTCAGTGATGTTCAGAATACTCACAGCCAATTTCAGGGCAATTTGTTTTCATGCAATGAATCCAATGATCAAAACAGTGCAAAATATTGTGATTTTCTAGTTGATTATAGGCATCCTGTGAATTATTCTGGCTGTTCCCAACAATTAAGAATTATCTGAAAGGTATTGATTTTGAGGAAAACGACCATTTCCGCCATTGTCCACACAAAGCTCTTTGACCCAGGTTTTTTCTGCCTTTCACAACAATTTTTCATTACACTACTGATGAAAAAAAAAAGTGGAAATTATGAAGGCGTAGCAGAAGAAGCTGGGTGTAGCAGTTACAAGTAACGAATGCATGACAAAACGCATAGCTGTTACACCCAGCCCTTCCTGTAACAAATTATTTGCTGGGTTGATGTCCCAGTGGAAGTTGCATTTTGGCACTATTTTTAATTTTAAAATGTTCTTATGGTTGTTGAAACTCCAATGGATCTATTTCAAGAAGTCTAAAAACTTATGAATCAACACTTCCATATCTTGGATTTTTTTCAACCGAGAAAAACGCCAAGAAAAAAAAATAAGTAAAAGGTCTGCCCCAAACAATGTGTGGGATCGATTCGCAAAGGAGTCTGCTAAATTTTATATGAACTCTTGCAGCATGCCTCAGCATCAGATCCCCTGCTTATATATATATATATATATCTGCTGCACTATACCGGTTCTCAGTTCTCACCCCAGCACTCGTGCAAGCCTCCGCCTCAGGCCTTATCTCACTCACTTCAGGCCGACTATAAATAATTCAACCGCATCTTAACGCGTATAGAACTCCATGTTCCTCGTTTCTCTTCCCCACAGTAGTAGCTGAAGTAATTGATTAATCAGGTGGAATGGAAACGGGGCTCACCATGCTCTCATCGTCAGCCTCTGATGATGGCGAACCAGGTCCAACTGCTGATGATCGCGGCTCGAAATTCCCTGGTAATAGAGCTTGTGATGCGGGAGTCGCTGGGAAAAAATTCAATTCAGGTTTCAGACGAACCAATCCAAGTATTTTTGAACGCCAATAGCTTTAAATAGAAGCTGGATTTTATTCAAAGGATTTTTGGTTTTCCGATCATTTAGTCGACTTCGTGCGCGAATCATTACATAGCTGGGAAATACGTGGAAACGCTGTGGTTTTAGCGAGAATTATATGCAGCATTATTGAAAAATTTATATAGAAGAATTATCGTACGATGCGCATTATTTGAAAGCATTGAGACAGTGTCAAATGATGCCGTTAAACTAAAAGAATAAAGATCATTCTTCATTTAAATTTTGAATTCTCCATGAAATTTGGCGAATAGAATTATAACCAAAAAGGGAAACACTTCCGTGTCAGTATTTTTCCTTGAAGGAATAAATGAGGTCAGTAATAATCGGGAATTGCTGAATGCATCACTTCAATATTTTTAAACTTCGAATTACGCCTATATATAGAAGCGATTTGTACTCGCAGAAATTTAATTTTGCTTCGAACTCGTGATTGCGATGTGAGCAATAAATTATATGCTGACCAATTATAGATTCTTATTAACGAACTGTATTCTTATATTATTCGAAAAACTCACGGCATTTTCTATATAATAAGGGATGTTCAAGAATGATTGCGGGTGTCAAGCCTTTTATTAAAACATTGTATGTCTTGCTCATTTCATGTCTTAGCAAAACATCTCATGGAATTGCAACCCAATTGGCCGAGATTCCTTGGCATTGGAGAACAGAAAATTTTAATATGTGCCCTGAATCACTATGAAAACTTATATTCTCAACCTTGACATCCCTTTATTGTCCAATTTTCTCTTAGACCCACGATTTTTTCCTTCTACGCCCAGATACCTATGATAATAGATCTGGTGGGGATTGATAAATTTAGCAAAAAATAAAATCATTTGTAGCACTGATTTTTTTCGCGCGAAAAACGAGCCATTCCAATGGATACAGTTACCGGATTATGCATAGGATGCTCAAACCTCGCATCAGCTTTTTCGATGCCCAATGCATCGCCAAATTATTGAATTAATTACATGCTGACTACAGCTGTCAAGCACGGTGGAATTATATTAGGATTAAAAATAAGAAAAGTAACTCACTGATGCACAACCAAAGGGACAATACAATGACGAGTAGCATGTCAGAATTCATCAGGATAGCAGCATTGAACACAGCATTTATTCTGGCTTCCATATTTCGGAGAACAACACAGAAACAGACTGAGAGCCAGGTTATTTAAAAAAAAATCAAAATTTCAATCCCGAATAATTCAGAGGGGGGGGGGGATTTGTGGGGGTAAAACGGAGAATTTCTCGAAGGCAATTTATGACTTGAATTTTTGGATGCTCTCGAAGCACGAACTGCTGCTTCAAAATGCACGTCACCGATTTTTTTTTCATCGGGTCACTCGGAAAGTGAAAATAATGATGAAACTCAAGAGCACTTTTCACTATAATGGAGTCACTTTTTCGCCGAAAATGTTTTCCTTTTTTCGACGTCAAATAAAAAAGGACGGCTCTGAACCAGAAGCCATCATCAGCAGCAGAGGGTCTGCATCTGTAGCAGTCGGCCCTGGAAATGGGAACCTGGGGTTTCGAAGAGACTGGGTTTTTATCCATGGGCGTGTGTTTCGCCTGGCCCATGCGCTTTTCAGCAATGCGTGACTTCAGATGCATCGCTTCCGGTTCCGGTTTTGTGGACCCCACCTATTTGCCCCAGTGTATCAGTAAAATAATTTGTAAGTCTATGAGAGCAGATTTGCGGTTCCATAGGGTATTTATAATATTTTCAGAGCACATACTGTTAGAGACTAAAAAGTCTCCACAAAGAAAATATGAGAAAGATGAATAAAACACAACATTCAGCCTGGGACTGGCTGGGAGCCTCTTTAAAGAGGCCCCAAAAGTATTGAGTGTTTAATAATGTCCCAAAGCATAAATGCAACTCAAATAATTTTGGACCTTGCACACACATTTCAAACAACACAATCATAAATTCAGATATCTTAAGATGAGCTCTTCACACTTCAAGAACTGGCAGTGGAATGGAATTCATTGTTACATGTTTTTGGAAACAGAAGAAAGAAGGAAAAGTGGTTTTCCTTGTGGGCAAAATATTGGCCTCTGATTGGCTGATTTTGTTGGAATTGAAGACGATGCTGTGCATCGTCCTACAATTCCTTCTGGACTCGTTTTTTTGGTGCTGGTGGCTTGGCTGATGCAAAGGACCAGTTTTTGAGATGCAGCAGCAGGGATTTATGATAATTAATATTTACAGGTGCCCGACTTGTTCCCCAACACATACCAGGGTAGTCCCATTTCTGATTGACCTTGGGTATTTCTAGACTAGGTACCACTTCTAATTTTTTATATCATTTAGCTCATCCAAGAATAAGGTGATGCGACTTTTTTCAGATTTTTTTGAAACTTTTTAGATTTACTGCAAGACAATAAGTGAAAACTTTCCAGTTTTGGCAAGGGTTTTTCATCCACATCAAAAGGTTTTAAGAATTGCTCATGCTGGACAAAACATTGATTTTTTTTTGTTTTTAGAACAATATTTCCTACATTTTCTGTTATTTTCGAAATGTTTAAATGATTTTTTGTTTGCCACAAATGAAAGCCTATATCCCTTTTGCATTTTTCCAAGAGCAAATTTTAATTACCGTTTATTTTTTATTTTATCTTCAAAAAAATCACCCGAAGCCTGTTTCTTCTTATTGTGATATGTTTCTTATCACTGTGAGGTTCTAAAATACTTCTGTTGATTTTTTTTCATTTTCAGCCATAAGGTCTAAAAAGGTAGGATAACCAGACAGTAGTCTAAGCAGTGTTAGATGCTGTCCATATTTTGGTGCTGGAGTTTTCTCCCTGGTGCACACAGTTCATTCTTGATTCCCAATGATTCCTGTGATTTTTATTCCAGGAAAAAAGTGCTTCACTTCTAAATTTTGAATCCTTGTTTATTTCAATTTTTTGAGATTGTATAAAGCACTGATGCATTCCAACTTTTTTTTGTTCTTCTTCACACAAAAATGTATCATTCTTGGGAAGAAGACAAAAAAATTTGGAATGATGCGTCCCAAATTTTTTTAATGCAAAAACAAAAACGAAGAACAAATAAATTGAATGCATCATTCCAAATTCTTTTGCTCTTCTTCCCAAGATTGATTAATGTTTGTGTGAAGAAAAAAATTTGGAATGAATTGGATGCCATTTATTTACAGATTTGTTTACAGTTGGGCGTATTCGGTAAGTTTCATGAGAGAGTTCCTGTGCGGGGCTCATGAGATCTTGCATTCATCCAAATAATTATTTTAGTTGAAACAACAACAAAAAACTTATCTTACCTTCAAAGTAGGATTTCATTGCAATTCCGTCAGAGTCCGAGCGCAAACATTTGCGGAGCTGGAGCAAACTTCATCATCTCTGCGCGGGGGACTAATGCATTTTGCGTTGAAGATTGTAATCCATAAGTTTTCGACTCGCCTAATTTGAAGTACGCAGGAAAACATGTAATCCCTTACCAGAATAATGAAATTCTCTCAGTGTATAAGCCACGAGATATAAGCGTAACACCCAGATGAGAAAAGAAAAAACCACGGATTCACTCGCTGAATCGCTATAGAAATAAAGTTTCTTCCACGCGCTGGTCATTTTCCACTAGCAAATTTTTATTTTTCCTTCGCACTATGGTGACATAATAATGCATCAATGAATACGCTGATGAGATTGATGACTCTTCATCTATGCATTTTACAATTGTTGAGCAAAGGAAACAATGGCGTCATCTGAAAAAGTGTCTTCGTCTGCTTTTCGTTCGTCTCAGTCCGAATCTCGCAGCAAGATTAGCTTCCGCTGGAACTCTGGGGGTTTCATCATTTTTTGCTGATTCCGAGACGAATTCCTCGTCATCCCCTTGATCTGCTTTCACGTTTGTCTATAAATGATAAGAAATATATATGAAATACAGTACTGTATATAAGGAATACAGTACATAGTTAGTAGTATTTTTTTGCAGTACGTCCAAGAACCCTGACGTGGAAAATGTTGAGGAAAACCTCAGCCTGATTTATGAACGTCCAACTTCATTATGCTTCGCAATATCTGCTAATATCAATTGGATTTTATTCTTAAATTCATTCATTCCTAGTACAATCGATTTTCATTGGTGTCTCTGTTTGTAAGGACGAAATCGGTCTTACGAAAGAAAACTGTACATTTAAGGGATGTTAGGGTTCCTTCATCAGATTTTAATTTTACGCGATGGTTCTCGAGCATCAGGACAAATTTTTAAAAATTTGTGTTCTTCGATAACAGGAGAACTTTGCCGGTTTTGATGCGTCAGATTTTTTGCCAAGATATGAAATACGCAAGAAATTGAATGTACTCAATACATTCAATGCATACTCATCAACTCGATTTGAAAATTTAATGGAATTATGATTATTTAATTATACTGCTGCAATTTTGCGCCAGGATTTTTAAAAACTGAAACGCATCCCAAAGTGAAATCGCTCAGGAAAAGTTAGTCAGCTCTTTAAAAATGCTCATTTCAGTTTCACTTCGTCAGCTCCGAAGCATAAAAATGCCTGACATTAATTATGATTCAGGTAATTCAAAGAAGTTGCGATAAATCATACCTGTGTTTGCGTCTTTCTTGAAGGCAAAGTCTGGAGGAAAGCATCAATTCTTCTCACGAGACGCGCTGGTGATTTTGTGTCTTCCACCTTGTATTTCAACGGAACATCAGCTCTCCTCCATAACAGTCCTTTTCCATCAATCCTGCTTCTCTCTGTCATCTGTTGAAAAAAAAAAACATTAGCATATTTTCAGGAATATTGGCTCGCATAAAATAAATAAACTTCCCCTCAAAAATAATTGGGAATACCACACTTCAGTGCACACACTGCATACCCGTTATCGGAAATATTTAATTATAGTCTATTAATGTACAGTATGACGAATACAACAATATCATTAATTGAAGGGGGAAAATGAATTTTTGCATGTTTATTAAATACTTCAAGGAGGCATTCACTGAATAGCAAACTAACAGTGCAGAATTTTTTTTATAGAAAATAATTTAAAACTCGAGATTCACTTTCAAATCAAACCTTTTTGCTGTGAAGTAAAAAAAATCGGAGAAATAAAATCAGACTTGTTCAGTAGAATACGTAACAAAATCTCAGAACAATCATATGGTTTGCACTTTGCACCCAGCAAGAACGTGCATTTATATAACAGGCACCTTGAATGTGTCGGGGGTCCTTTGACCTTAGACAAAGAAATTGGTTTTGGTGAAATAAAACAGGCAATTGGCAGTTTGTGGCCTGAGGAGAAATCCTCAACTGGTGATGTGTATTCCAAAAGAGATTTGATATTGACACAGAGTACAAGCTTCTTGATGTTTGCGATCTTGAGTCAGGAACTGTAGTGAATTTGATGATGGAGTCTGAACCTCAGGTCCACTCCAGTGGAAATGTTCCTGAGGGTTTTGGATTCTTGGAATAGTGTTGCAATTGTTGAGGAATCCTTTTCAAAAGGATTGCTCAATGAGTTTTTCTAGAAGGTGGAATATTTTATGAAGGTTTCACACCTTCATAGAATATTCTGTGTTGTATAAAAATGTCCTTGTTCTTTCTGTTTTATTTCTGTCATGCTTCCAGTTGCTTCTATGCAACATGGTACAACCATGAGCAACATCTAGTTGTTTCACAGTGCAATTTCAAAAACTTTGGGCAACACCTAGTCAACCCAGACAGAATGCACATTTCTAGTTTTTATTCAAATGATTTAATCTTAAATAGAAACAGAGGAATAAATTCACAATTAGAAAATTCCGAAATAATTGAAAATTTAGCAAATGAAAAGCAATGAATCACAGCATTAATGAACCGATAAAAGAACACTGAATAAATACAAGAAAAAAATTGTGCACAGAAATAAAATTCAATATGAACAACAATACAGTATTGAGTTTCAAAGAAATAGTTCTTCTCTGGATGGGGGCTTTGAGAAGACTTCTGCTTTGAAAAAAATTAAACTCTCAGCTTTTGATACTTTTCTCAACAGTTTGGATCAATTATTCACAAATTTCTACTGTGATGTCCTTATTGATATTCTCTCGTGCATGCTTGTATAATTTGTAAACGATTTCGAGGAAGTCGCAGAGAAAAAACCACACATTCTCGTGTGGTTATTTTTATTCTTATTTTAACCTTTTATTCTCCTTCAAAACAATTTACTTCAAGGGGTTTTACAGATTTTCTTTTCTTTTTTTTCTGAGTAAAAAGGAAAATACTGACCGTGGGTGCCACAGCACTCGTGCCAGGCAAAAATGAAGCCAGGCCGGTTTTCGGAAAAGCGGGCATGTGGATGGCAGAATTTGGCATTCGTGGTTGCATAATTGTTTCTGCTTTCAAAGATTCATCAAGTTTCTGATGATGACGAACTTTATGCTGAGGTTTCATCAGTCGCTGGGCCACGTGAAAATCGGGATTGAACGAGTGTCGCCTTCTATTGTTCGTAAGCATCAAACCTTCAGCAGCAGGTTTGCTTGAGCTGCTTCCTCCAGGAACATCTGCTTATTTCATTACAATAAAATTAATACATATTTAATATTTGGGAACTAAGAAAATATAAGAGATTGTTACGGATTGAAAGCGGCTTAAAAAACATCCAGATGCAATATACATCTGAGTGGTGAGGGGATTATGAAGCCTCCAAGCATTTTCAATTTGAAGTAATGTTCAAGTAGTCTACATTTATGGCCACAAAAATAAAGAAACCTGGAGCATTTTTTCTCCTTGGATGGTTTAACCCTTGAACAGCAGCAGCCTCCTTTCCATCCCAGGGCAAAGTTGGACTTTTTCCCCTTGAGCCTGCATAACCCAAGGTTATGCAAGTCCTACCAGGTAGGGAAGGGTGAAGCCGTTTTTTATCTGGGTATAAAGAAATGCTGGAAAAGTCTCAAGTTGGACTTTTTTAGTATTGACCTCTAACCTGGGCTCCTGCTTCTGGCTTTCAAGCTGAAATTCAATCTTTGAATGGGGGAACAGGAAAAGGCCAGGGATAAAAAGGGAACCTTGAAGATTTCATTTTTTTCATTTCCAAGTGAAATTTTTTTCTGGGGAATTAAAAAAATGCCAAGATTTTTTCACGTTTGCTCTGCACACACGGTCATGGTTTTTCAAAATGCCATTCTTGAGTGCTCCAAAAATCTGCGGAAAAGTCCAACTTTGCTGCAGAAGGGTTAATAAGAAGACTATTATTTGCTCTCATTGCAGGCATCAAAAGAAAAAAGTCATGCACACAATCAGCATTCAAAATCTTGCATACTGAAATAGAAAAAAATTGCTTCACAACAAATGAAATCACTAAACAAAAATGCTTTGTGCATGGTAAAACACTTGATGCGCAAAATATCAAAGCATATATAAACTGCAAATTTTCGATCTAAAAAATCCTGCAAGTCTTAAATAATAAATTAAAGCTCAAGATGTTCTCTAACTTTTCTGTGATCATATTAAATGTTTCTAACTGATGAATCTTGAGATATTCTCACTTTTCCAAATCTATCTGTTTCTTTGGTAATGAGAATCTGAGAAAGCTTCTCCAAAGATTTTTATTTCACTGGTCCACAGGCTTCTGGTGCAAACAATGACTTCAAAAGGCCTAATTTCTTAATGTATAAAGGAATTCATTTCTGCAAAATGGGACTAATTACTGTATTTACTCAAGTACCCCGCACCCTTGAGTAAGGTGCGCACAGGGGTTTTACAGTTCAAAATTTGGCTAAAACTGTTATCACTGAGTAAGACGCACACCCCATGTTTAGGTACTGTAAAACCACAAGATTTTGTAAATAAAAACAAAGAATTTGACTTTTGATGTGAATTGAACATGAATCTGATCAATTTTCAAAATTTTCAGTAAAAAAAAGTTTTCTTGGTACATTTGTCACAAATTTCTCCATTATAATCAAGTATAATTAACACACAACTTCCTAAAACTTTTTGAAAATTTTGTATTGGCTTATGACATGCACCCCTTTTTTCTTCTGAAATTTGAGAAAAAAGATGCACGTGGTACTTGAGTAAATACAGTATTCTTTTGGAATTGAAATGAATTGTACAGCAAGCTTTATTTTCTGCTTCTCAGCCTTAACAAGGTCCCAGCAAAAATTTCAGATTGCCGCCTGAGATGGCGGCTATTTTTATGCGTATCCTGGCTGTTTCAGGTGGTGGTCAAACGGTTTTGGATGCAAGTAGGGATCTGTTTTCCTGATGAGGTCAGGATGGGGTAAAAATCGTTTTTAGTTGATGCTTTTGAAAGCGTCAGAGTCTGACGCTTTTAAAAGCGTTTTTAACCTAGTCAAAAACGTTTTTCCGCGACGCCTTCGAAAGCGTCAGAGGCTGACGCTTTCAAAAGCGTTTCTTACGCTGTTAAAAACGTTTTTCCGTGACGCTTTTGAAAGCGTCAGCTTCTGATGCTTTCAAAAGCGTTTCTTACCCTGTTGAAAATGTTTTTGTGTGACGCTTTTGAAAGTGTCACATTTTGACTCTTTCAAAAGCATTTTTTACACTGTTAAAAACCTTTTTCTTTGATGCTTTTGAAAGAGTCAAAATAACTTATTGTGACTCTTTTAGAAGCATATTTTACCCTGTAAAAAACGTTTTTCTGTGATGCTTTTAAAAGCATTATTGTAATTTTATTATAGTAAGTGCTGTAATGTTTATTTCAACAAGAAATTGCTGTAAAATGATTGTAAAGAGCAATTTTTGTGTTACTGGCAATTGCAGTTTTTTCTGTGATGCTTTTAAAAGCATTATTGTAATTTTATTATAGTAAGTGCTGTAATGTTTATTGCAACAAGAAATTGCTGTAAAATGATTGTAAAGAGCAATTTATGTGTTACTGGCAATTGCAGAAAACAACATTGTGTTAACACTGCCTTTACTTTGTTGCAACATTGTTGGCATGCACACTGTTGTGTGCTGTAATTAAAATGAATATGTATTATTTGCAATATGGTGCATGAATGCATCAATTGTGTATAGTCCCATGCATTTTAAAAGACTTTACAAGTTTTCTCATAAAGTGCAACATGGTCATATCACACAAGTGTTGTAACATTGTGATAACAGTGTGTAACAGTGGTTGTAACAGTGCATGTAATGCACACAAGTGTTGTAACATTGTGATAACAGTGTGTAACAGTGGTTGTAACAGTGCATGTAATGCAAGTGAAATTTAAAATTTCATTTACATTTGTTTCCAAAGTGTTTTCAACAGTTATTGTGTGGCATTTCAACAACATTGCAACAACTTGCAAATAAATGTGTGGTAACAGTGTTAATATTTACAATTATTAGTGTTAGAATAAAGAAATGATTTCTGAGTTAGGACACAGACCCAGTGTATTACTTAGAATTTTGATCTATTGCAGTGTATCATCCAAAAAGTAAATGTAATACTGCTGTATTGCTTATTATTACACATTGTTATGTTGTGTATTCATTAATTTGAATCTTTCCATAGCTGTAATGTTTATTGCAACAAGAAATTGCTGTAAAATGATTGTAAAGAGCAATTTATGTGTTACTGGCAATTGCAGAAAACAACATTGTGTTAACACTGCCTTTACTTTGTTGCAACATTGTTGTCATGCACACTGTTGTGTGCTGTAATTAAAATGAATATGTATTATTTGCAATATGGTGCATGAATGCATCAATTGTGTATAGTCCATAGTTATGACTACCAGATCCGCGCTGTGATGCTAGAGTTTCTGGCCAGAATTTCTGCTCAGGCCAATCACTGTTGTATGTTTGGCGCAGTTGTTATGGCTGTGGGCACTGAGTTGTGGGGTCCCGGTTTGAATCCCCAGTAGGTTGCTTGTTTATTCATGTCTTTCCTTTGAGTGTGCATGTGTGTGTGTGTGTGTTTGTTAACATGCTGATATGCACCCTGCATTCACAATGCTAGTACAGTGTACTGGCATTGTAAATGCAGGGCTGCATAGCAGCCAAAAAAATTTTCTTGAAATAGTTTCACTGATGCCGTAGGGAACAGCGTCAAAAAAACGGGAATCTTGGCGGGAATATGGGGGGGGGGGGGCTCCCAAACCACCAGGATAACCGTCAGGGGAAGCGGCAATCCTATCCCCGTCTCTCCAGGCGGGTATAATGCCCGCTTTTTATGGTCTCAGTGGCTGCCTGGATAGACGTCCACTCTGGACGTCTATAAGGCCGTCTTTAGTGGGTAAAGGCAAGCGGATAACGGCCAAATTATTTGCTGGGGTTTGAGTAAGGTTCCCATATCCAACACTCTCCCCCCTCCCCCTCCCCACATTCATCCAAACACATTCCATCACATCAGAATGGAAAATAGAGAAATAAGCATCCCAAAATGTACAATTGCACAAGTGATTTAATACATACACTTTCTTCCCTTCCCTGATAACAGAAAAAAGCCAGTATAGTAAGAATTGCAGCATAAGGCAATTATAGTGAACCCAAAATGGATTAAACCACCTTTGGACAGACAATATGGAGGGAATGGCTTTCATAGCAGAGTACAATTTTTTTTGGCAGTAAAGCTTAAGGATCAAAGTCATTTTATTGGCCTCTTGTTTTCAAAACAAGCTTTTACATCAGTATAACACAGAATTTGAAAAATGCTAGAAAATTTATTTGTGGAAGTGTATTTCACTATCACACTAGTTCACTATCACATTTTATGCCAAGGCTTTTTGAACCGTATGCAATTTTTCCGGATTTATTTTCGCACTAGAATGTGTGCATGAAGGATTATTTTTCTTGACTCGGAAAACCATTTGGACGTTTTTTCCAATGCCGATGAGTCCTTCATCTGAGATAAGGGTTTTTTTCAAATTACGAAAATTACAAGTAAACGACTGATCACAACCAGGCAGATTCTTTCTTCTAATAGTGAGAAAACAGGAGTCCTCAACAGTTTCTCGAAATAACCTTGTTTTTGCGGATCTTCGTACGGTACTGCAGATGATGACGGACGGGCGGAATTCTGCACACATCAATTTTGCCCACACAAATACTTTACTCGAAAGATGATATCATTTTTCATGCTATCAGTATTTCTAGTTCTATCCATGTCTTTCATCTACTGCATAAAATTGACAGTATCGAAGAATAATAATTTTTTCGCGATGCCCCGATCGAGTTTCCCCGCACACAGATGAAGGAAAATAAACTCATTGGTACAGTACTGTAGTTTCATATCCGTAAGTTCCATAATAAATTCTTCGCACTCCATAGAAGTTCTCCGGGTTTGGCTTTAAAAACTAGATTTTCTTCGCTATACCATAAACAGAAGAGTATAGACCTTTTTTCAGAAAATTGAGAAAAATTGCTTTTCTCAGCTCCAGTTCTGAAAAGTATGTATGAGATATGAAGAGAAGTTTTCGAAGAGCTGCGGCAACGAGATTTACTACGTTCATGCGTCACGATTTTCCGACAACTGTTATACTGTATAAGCAATGTGTGCTTGACGGAATACACATGAATTCATTCGTGAGAAAATGCTGCTGAAATTTATTATTATTTCAAAATTTTGAGGGAAAATACTTTCTGCGATTATTATGAGAAATGGGAACTGCTTCCAGGAAAATTCTTGTACAGTAGTGTAAAAGAAAAAAGTGCAATACACACGTCATTACATTTTTCCGCTGTTGCATTTCGAGATCCCGCACAGGAGCAGTGAAAGTTGAAATCAGGTGATGATTTGAATTTTTTGCAATCGTTAGAAGTCACTGTACCATAGCAGAAAAAACTTTACCAGGAAAAGAAAATCATAAAAGGCTTATTCTAAAAGTTTTAAAAGATTTTCAACTCCTACGTGCTCAGTAGAACAAAATACTAGTTCTTTGCTTCTTGATGAGCTCCTATATTCTGATTTGAAACGATCTGATTCTTTGTTGTTTTATTTTTCAGTCATTTCCTCTAAATATACTGAAGTTGAAAAATGTATTCTCGATTTTTTGATGACATTATTCCTCATTCTTGATGAACATGGGAACCAATTCCAATGGGAAAACTTGATCCAACATTGGATGCTTCGGTCAGACCCATTCTAATCAAATCTGCATCTGGGGGCCCCACTTTAAAACTACAATTTCAATTTGCTTTTTCTCTTTTTTCCCAGCACTGCATCAGAAAACAAAGAAAACAATCCCCACCTAATTTCTCATTGTACGTGCCAAGTCATACATCATCGTCATTAGCGGGTTCATATTATTCCACCGAGAATTATTCCGCCATCATCGCCGTACAGTTTTCTTTGTTGTTTTCTTTTTTCTCGAAAGCAATCTCAAGCAAGACTTTCTCCTGAAAGGCTTTCTTATTGAGAGAAAGAACAAAAGTTTCGTATCAAGAGTAATCAGCAGCAGGAGAGGGAAACTCACCCGAGGCGCCAAAACCGGCTGAATAACCGCGGTTCTCCTTGAACTGCTCAGCAACCCGTAGGAAAAGTTTTGCAAGCTTCTCATACTCTCTTTCCCGGGCCGATAATGACGACGAAGGCGTTGATGATGATAATGATGATGATGACGTGGGTGTCGGGAACTTGGGATCCACATGGGCAGCAGCAGTGGCCTCGTTTCCGTCGTTGTCGTCGTCGTGACCCGGTTTAACCCCGTTGGAAATGAATTGACCCAGCATCCTGGGCTCTTCTGGGGCATCGGTCAGAAACGAGGACCCCGATGAAGACGATGGGACGAATAACCGGCTCGTTTCCGAATTGTTGCCCAAGCGATAAAGTAAGGAGTTTATCGAGGTTCCGCTGGGATGTTGATGATGCGCAGAATTCGAGTGTTTCTCGAAAATGGTGCGTCTGGTTGCGGAAATCACTTCCCGCTGGAATTTTATTGCGAAAAATGTTAATATTTTTGCGTGCTAACAGAAAGATCGGTTTGCACATTTGAATGGTGCAGTGTTGAACCTTGATAAGTCCATTTTTTCAAAGCTCCATATCTGAACTCGTCGCTATATTGTTCAATGCATTAAAAACCCCTCTCAATCAAATAAGTCTTCTCATCTAAAGCCTCTGCAACACGAATTTTCTGAAGCCTTTTGGCAATAATTTTCTTGATACAGGAAAAATAAAGCAATGGAAAAATAACTTGATGTGTTTTGCAAGGAAGTGAAAGATTATAATTGGGCAAATGAACACCAGCCTTCAGTTTCCGCATCCATGCTGTCAAATCACTTAAGAAGCAATTAAAGACCCAGAATATAACAATTTAAGATTTCTTGCAATCCTTCTTTTTTTTCCACAACAAAAATGCTTGGTTTTTTTAAAACTCAAAACCTCACTATTTTAGAAGTCAAATCCTTCTCCAGTCAATTATTTTTTGCAGATCACTTGAAATTTCACTTAAGAGATGGTTTGACTGTACATACAGGTACACAAATGGAAGCATAATAGTGGCAGAATCTCGCATTTGAGATACACAATGAAAAACAGCTCTTCTGGTAGCAGAAATCCCTTGACATCCAATGATGATAAATTCTTTCAAAAGTATTTACTGTACAGTACATCCAATTACAAGTAATGTACAGTACTTTAAAGCTTACAATAGTTGAATCTCTTTGTCAAACTTCAAGGTGGACCAGAAAGAAAATGACTCAGGGATGTTTTGTGTTGGGGAAAACAAGCATTTTTTGATTAGGGGAAGAAAAAGGAATTACAGGAAATTGTGATTTATACTCTGGACATGCATCTTCTTTAATGAGACGCCAAAATACTGAACTTGGAGGCAAAGGTTTTTCATTTGTCCAATTCGTCCTTCATTTCATTCAAAAATAAAATATTGTTACATTTGTATTGCTTCTCTGTTTCCTGAGTCAATAAAACAATAGCGAAAAGGCCTGAAAATGTGAGTTATGGAAGTTCATTTGTATAGTTGAATCTTTTTAGAACAAAAGCCATTAGAAATTATTCCAGCACAGCAATTTTCAACTTCTGGCAGAAATCCGATAGGGTTCAGGGTTAAAACAATTTCGTTGAAGCAAATTTCTCAATTTCAGTGCAAAACATTTTTTTTACTGAACACGAGACTGTATATAAAGAACAGCTGAAAATCCGTTTTGGGACAGTGAAACCATTTTGCAGGGTTAAGTTCTGCATTAGCAAAAAGTTAACCAAACGGATTCATTAACATATTTTCATGAAGAGAAATTTTGAAAAGCTATACACGAGGGTTCTAACAAAAGTTCTCGGAGTAGCAATGAAAATGGCTTACAGTTGACCTGAAAAAAATTGTTTCTTTAGGAAAAACATATTCTTTGGCACATAAAAAAATAGCAGCCCTGTCTGACAACTTTATTGAATTTTTTCATAATTCACCGTGGTAAAGTTTTACTCTCCACTCAAAAGACAAGGGGCCCTTTTTTTGTTGTAGCCCAGCTTTCCTCTCAGAATTTTTAAAATCAGCTAGCCATTCTTTCTAAGGGTTGCCTCCTGGTCATCCAAGGCAATTCCGCCATTTTCATCAAAAGCCGCCTTCACAGCGGCCAATGTGGCGGCTGTGAAGGGTGAATTATGAAAAAAATTCAAAAAAAAGTTGTCAAACAGGGCTGATATTTTTTATGTGCCAAAAAATATGTCTTCCCTAAAGAAAAAATTTGTTGCAGGTCAACTGTAAGCCATTTTCATTGCTACTCCGCGAAATTTTGTTAGAACCCTCGTATAGTTGGAATAATTTTTGAAAAGTTGTGACCAATACAAGAAGGAGAATCAGCTTCCAATCCTCAGGCAAGTCGGCATGAAAACTAATAAAACATCATTTCGCTCACCAAGTGGTTCCGAAATGAAGTCTCGTCTTCGTTGTAATCTGGCTTAGAAGGAATCCATCCACTCCATCCATCTGCTCCTATATAATCAATCAAAGAAAATCGAGACACATCCGTTAGTTATAAGAATAACTTATGTTGAATTGCATCATCTGATATGCATCAAAATTCCGGATGATTTTCTCCGTAGAAAGCGGAATAAATGTGGTCGACTCTTCATTGGTTTTGAGTTGGTTTTTTTCATCAAAAATTCAGTCTTATTATGTATTAAGCGCTAATTTTTTTTAGGTTTTCTTCATTTATTTTTTCTTGTGAACAATTTGATGGGTGTGACGAATCAATATCCTGCAGATTTCAAGCATATCTTGGCAAGGAATTTGTTTGCATGCTTTATTCCGCTAAAAATTTCCCAGAAAAAAACATATTCCTCCGTTTTTTGAGTTTCTTTCCAGTGAAACAACTGTCCTCATATTCTTATGATGCGGTACCGACGTATAAATGCAGTGTAAACATATACAGTATTATATTGTCACATAATTTCACAGAAACAGAGTGCAACAATTTTTGCAAGAATATACTGTATAGACTCAGGCGTCTAAACGATATAAATGGAACATGACATAAATCCTCATGCATATTATACACTTTTGACGCAGAAAAAGGTTTGAACTTTGCAATATCACTTGAGGTACCACCTTGAAAATGTATGCGAAATCATCACTGAAGAGTGATGATGAACTATTTGTAAAACGCTCTCTGGAACACATAATTTTCTGTGACAAAAGGATTTTCTGTGACACTAATTTTCAAATGTTCTGTGACACTATTTCAAATTCTGATGAAGTAATATTTTTCAACATATCTGCATGAAGCTTCATTCTGCCAGATTTCTGGATTTGACAAGATCAGATGCTGTTTCAATAGGTTTACCTATAGATGTAGGAGAAGGTGGTCAATTTGTTCAAGAGCAGCATTTCCTCCATTTCAGAAATGGAAAATTAGGACAAATCATTCGTGGTACATGAAAAAAGAATAATTTATTATTGAAAACTAGGACTCGCTATTGAAGTTTGTGTAGATTTGCCTTAATTTTTTCCTGACAAGTGGTCCATAATTTGTTTCAGAGGAAAACCAAATCCAAATATTCTTCATACATCAAAAAATGATGTGTAAAGAATGCATCCAACTTTGCATCAACATCACATTCTTTTGGTACATGTGCAGAAGGCATGCATTGTTGACACAAGGCAGGAGCATCCCATATGTGGACATCATGTACCCAGAGGACAGGAAGGGGCCACAAATAAGTGGGACTTATATCAGAATTTCCTTACAGTGGTACACATCAGAAGAGGACATGGGTATGACATGCTGCACAAGCATGGAAAAAAATGACACCTGGTCCATGATTTGTTTTACAGCATTAAAACTGCAGTGTTCAGTCATTTTGGAATGTTTTAACCAAACTCTTGGAACTCAGTAAAGATTTCAAGGTTTCCTTTTTTTAATTGAAAATTTGACCTAATTCCAAACATTTTTCAGTGCACACAAACATTCATAGTGTTTGAAAATGAAATTCCAAAACGATTCATAATGGTTTCAAAATGAATAATAAGTGGCTGTCTAATTTTTAATGAAAGAGGAATTTACCTTTGATTGAAAAAGCGATGCATAAGATGGAGAAGCCGAACGCAGCGAACATTCTTCGTTGCACACACGTTTGAACACAAAAAATCAAATCAAGGAAGACTTGGACGCGCAAACAAAATTTGACAATTATGTCAGAGCTGTTCAAAAAGTTTAAAAATGCATGACTTTGTGAATCAATCGCGGATGCTGATCGCATTCGCATGGGATAAAAACACCGAATACACTTACTTTTTTGCGATGTATACATTTCTACGAGCACTGCCAACTTGCCAAGTGCCAATTTTACAAAGAAATTGGAAGGAAAATTATTTTTTACACCCAATTTTGTCCTAATTTTGTCTTGATGTACTCTTTTCTTTGTGCGGGAGAAAGTGCTTGGCATTAGCAATTTTAAGGATGAATTTCATGGGTATAATTTTTGGCATGCTAGATAAATTAAGGGGACAAAATAGAATTCAATTCTTCAAACTTGGGCATTAAGGAAGAGGTACAGTTTTCCAAAATTACGGTAGCTTCTATAATGCAGTACAGTAATTACATTAGCATTTTTTTCCTTCAAGTCTCAATAAAGTGTCAGTGTCATTATTTCTGACGGATTCGGCAATTTTGCGCAAACGTCCAGGTAATTGTTTTTATTATGATGCATCTAAAATATTGAAGGGCTTGTTAAATCATTTATATATCTTCTGGACTGCATCGATTAACATGATTTAAAATGAGCAGGGTTTATCCCAAGTCAGAGAACGAATTTTTTTTCAGAGAAGTCAAAATATTCCAGAAACAATTTCACTCTTATTTTTAAATTTCAACTGAGGGCTTACAAAAATTGACGCCTATGATGGGTGTGCTTCCCAAGGGTTTGGAATCCCGAGCATGAATCACTCTGACTTTACTGGTGCTCCAGCTTGAATTTTACAGGAGATGAAAATGCGAAGAATTCTCCAGAGATATCAGCGCTTCACATTTCGAGAGATTATGTATATATTCTCGGAGCCTACGTTCCGAGAGAAATTGCTTCAAGCCGCGCGAAATTGGGACATAACTTACGCACGGTATATTTTAAGCACCACTTATATCATTGTTCCTTCAGAGAAGCGCAGACTTCTGCTGCTGCTCGTGACAACAATTTCGCGCGAACGAACCAGGAGTGTCGAGATGCCGTCGAAGTCTGTCGCTCGCTGTCGACAGCCGCCGTTATTCTGAGTGTCGAACAATAATCTCCCCCCCCCCTCCTTTTCTCAACCCGCTCGTGTCACGTTCCCGAAGTCGTGACAGCGTTGTTAACTAATCCGGCTCAAGTAGGGATTTCCGGTAACGCGGAAACCCCTTTTGTTGTTTCGCAGCTCCCCCTAGTAAAAATAGAAGCAGCAGCGAAGAACGTGGCTGTGCTGATGGACCCCCTTTTCTTCAGCTGACTGCCATCCTGCTTCTGCTGCTGCTGGTTTCTGTGTATGCTTATATTATTCCTTTCTTCTCCTTTTTCCTGCATGGTCACTTACTTTATTGTTTGCTTTCATCCCCAGCAGTCAGTGGTCTTATTTTTTCTACTTTTATTCATCTGTAGTTATATTTGTTTCTGCATGGATGGAGATAGTTTCGAGGAAGAAGCCAAAGTTGATCCCTCGCTTCTGGTCACGTTCGACATACCCCGCTGCTGCATCGTTACATTTCCGCACCAGCAAGTCAGAAAAGGAAAAATAACATTCAAGCAGGCTCTATAAAGACCAGTGGTCCGCAAACCCCCGTGGGCGACACAGCTCCAGCATCCGGTTGCAACGGGACCCAGAAAACTTGTTACATTTCTGAGGCCAGCTAGTGAGCCTGGCAAAAATCCCATTTTGCCAGACTCACTGAGCCTCACTCAAGGACAAGAAGTGGTCATCACTTCTTTGATTTTCCTTTATTGGCCAATCCTGAGCCATGAAGAAATCCCCTGATTTCTTCCTGACCCAGTCCAAGCACCTGGCTATAAAAGCCTTCATTCCTCTTTGAGAGAAAAAGTCAGAACCTACTGTTAAAAGGCATTTTAACTTTAAAATACCTCATTCAATATTCTGAGCTAACCATTGACTCTGCCATTAAAACAATTGAATCAACAGCCAATTGATGAACTGGGCAATGAGAATGAACTCCTCTAAAAAGAGTTGGAGTTCTTATTCAAAACTTGCATTCTGATGGCTGCACAATTCAATTCCTTTGTCTGGGATCCAATGGACCCATGACAGTCCACGGGCTGGCACAGGTCCACAGAAGTTTTTCTTTGCCCCAAAAGTTTATTTGATCATGCTGGAGAAAAGTTAATCAATAAAGCCAGATCAATGGAAGCAATAAAGTCTGCTATGTTTTATCTGAACATTTTGAAAGACAATGGCTGTTATTGAAATCATCTGATGAAAAAATGAAAAAATTGGCTTTTATCAGAATAAAATTTCATGTAAGTTTTCCCCAGCACAAGTAAATTATTGTGAAACATTTCTTAAAGCTCAGCTTTCAAATTGTTTCAAGACATTTCACTGTAGCTTCTTCGTTGGGCCTTAATTCAAATTTTGCAATAAAAGTTTTGTTTGAAGGACTTTATGGCAGGTACAGGTGAACCTTGATAACTAAAACCTATCACTAAGTCAAATATCTGGCCAAGTCCCATTTTTCTCAAGGCTTCATCTGAATCCCTTTAGAAACAATACATAAAAAGCCTCCCTAAATCAAAGGTTTTTCCTCTGTAGGTTACATTTTTTGCTGGTCCCTTGAAATTTTACTCACAGAGGTTTAAAAATGTTCTGCTGGTCTGCAAAACTTTGGTGGAACTTTGCCAGTCTGCAAAAATAGGCTCTTTATTGATAGCTTTTTATTTCTTCACATAATTTGAGTTGGGGTGTAGAATATTGTAATTAAAGTAGCCAGCCTCTTCTGACAATGTATAAAGAATCTAGGTATGAGGAAATATTTCATTCCCATTTCCCTCTCCACAGAATATATAACCTCTGACAAATGCTGCTGGTGGATTTTATTCTACTTCTCCCAGCTGTATGGGCAAAAAGCCATAAATTCCAAAAAATTGAATGAAAATTTGTCATGATATTTGCTAAACACTGCTAAATTACCTTCACAACAAACATTGAGACTTGAATATCATGTCACAATCATGAAAAATGTGCTATAAAGATTTAAAGAGCATTGTGAATGTATATATACATATATATTCAAAAAACTGAAATTATCTTGCTGTGGCTCATAACGTATAAAATATACAATACCGTATTCTATACCTTTTTTTTACTTTATAATATTACAGTTGAACCTCTCTATATATTGAATTTCAAGGGACCAGCAAAAAAATTTGACTTACAGAGATTTTGTCTTGGGGAGGTTTTGAGTTATATATCGGATCATAGATGTTTGACTTATACATAGAATCAAGCATTTTTATTGCAGGAAGCATTGAAACATTGCACTAAATTGTACATTTTG